ATATCATATATTTACAAATGATTTTTACACTGATATAAAACCTGACCTTTCATCATACTTTGATACCTCAGATTATGATACAAATAATATTTTTGAATATCCAAAATTAAATAAAAAGAAATTAGGTTTTTTTAAAGATGAAAATAATGGTAAAATCATGAAAGAATTTGTGGGTTTACGATCCAAAATGTACGCTTTTAACTTAGAGAATAAGACTATAGCCAAGGCAAAAGGGGTAAATAAATGTATCACTAAAAAGATGACAATGAATAGTTATAAGTCTTCTCTATTTAATAAAAAAGTGCAATATTATAGTATGCTTAGATTTAAATCAATTAAACACACAATTTTCACACAAAAATTAAATAAGATAGGTTTATCATATAATGACACAAAGAGACATATTTTAGATAATAATATTGAAACATTAGCTTGGGGTCATTATAAACTGCGTTAAGTGTTGATAGTTTTTACTTTTATGTCTGCGTTTAAGAAAAATTTATATTGATTGTAAAATTATGATAATACTATAATATGACATAGTTTATTACATATTTAATCATTGTTTTATTGTAAATAATTTAAGTTAATTGTTGTTTCTATTTATTTGAGGTTGAGTTAATTGTAAAATTATGATGTACTAATTGTTGTTTCTATTTATTTGAGGTTGAGTTAATTGCAAAATTATGATGTACTAATTGTTGTTTCTATTTATTTGAGGTTGAGTTAATTGTAAAATTATGATGTACTAATTGTGTTAGAAATAGTATACAGATAATTCTGTTTTATATAATTTTTGGAATATATATTAATTGTTTACACCAACACTTTCATTTTTTATTTCACCCCTTTGAACTTTAGACGTGTGTTATGTTTCACTTTATCCATCCGTTCACTGCTATTGTGGCAGGACCAAGTGGGTGTGGGAAGTCAAATTTTGTAACAAATTTCATAAAATCAGTTACAGAAATATGTAATTGTGATTTTAATCAGATCACATGGTGCTTTGATGAAATGCAACCATTATATAATTTACCAAATGTTAACTATCATCAAGGAATTCCAAATCTTAATATGTTTGATGGTGAAAACCCACATCTTGTTATTATTGATGATCTAATGAGAGAGTCCGATGGAAGAATTGTGGATATATTTACAAAAGGTAGTCATCACAGGAATCTTAGTGTATTTTATCTAACACAAAATTTATTTCATCAGGGTAAAGGACAAAGAGACATATCTTTAAACTCAAGTTATATAATATATTTTAAAAACCCTCGAGATAAAACTCAAATAAGATATTTAGCAAGACAAGTATCACCAGATAACCCAAAATTCATTGAAAATGCCTACAGGGATGCAACTCTAGAGGCGCATGGATATTTAATGGTAGATTTAAAACAGAATACCAATGATTTTTGTCGTATCAAGACAAATGTCTTTCCATTTAATGGTTTCTGTACAGTCTACGTCCCCACAAAAGAGTTTAAATACACCAAGAATCAAACAATTGAAATCATTGCTAAATGATGCATCCTCGACTCACAACGTATAAACATTTGCTAACCGCTTTGCATACGCTTAAACCAAAATATCAAAGAGCATTACTTAAAACGTGTGATGAAGAAGAAATTAACTGTATTTGTGAGTGTATTCATAACGTTTTACAAGGAAAAGTACCTCTTAAAGATCAGGATAAACAAAAATTGAATAAACATAAAAACATACTCCGTAAACTAGTACGTAAGTGTAAACATAAACTAAGAAAAAATATAATTATACAAAAAGGAGGGGCTTTCTTACCAACAATATTAGGTGCAATATTGAGTGGATTAGTGAGTGGACTAGCCAGTTAACATGGAAAATGCAAAGAAAATGATACTTATCGAACCTGGATTGATTGAAAAATTAAAACAAGAAAATAAGGTTAATAGTAATTTATCTCGATTAGATATTGAAATGCAAAATATTATGAATAGTAAGACGGAAGACCGAAAGAAATGGATATTATATTTACAAACACTGCAAAGATACCTTCATTTTACCGAAGAGCATCGTCAACCACTCAAATTACCAATTTATTCTGATACATCTAATGAAGATTCAAATGAGTCAAAAATTGGTTTTAAAAATAAAGATAGAGATCTAAAAACTTCAGTTGATATTGAATCTTTGCTGGAGGAGAATCGATCCATTAAAAGTAAAGAAAATGATGAAAATCCACTTTACACACCAGCTCAAATACTCAGTTTAATACCAAAAACTTATCATAAAAAAGGGCAGTTATTATTAAACTTAGTTGAAACAAGTAAAAGTAAAATACATTGGGATAACGAAGGTACAGTCATAATTGATAGTGAAAAAATTCCTGGAAGTAATATTGTTGATTTAATAAATGATTCACTAAGACCCCTAAAAAGAAGTGATCCGGTAGGGTGGGTTAGATTTGCTGAAGCATTAAAAGATATTAAAGTACCACTTACTTATATTGGAAATCCAAGGAGATGTGAGTTTATTAACCAACTTCAAGCAAAAGATCTGAACAAACCCTCTGAGATTGAAGTTCAAGAGTTTTCTACACCGTGCAGTAGAGATAAAAAGTCTACAACTAAAATACGTAAAGGACTTGAGTGGGAAAAATGGACTCCGTACTAGAAGAAATTAACAGGATTTATTATGATCCATCTAATCCCGCTGGTTTTGGTAGTATTGATAAATTATCAAAAGCCATGAAGGGTAAAATGAATAAAAAGCAAGTAAAGGAATGGTTAAAATCACAAGAAACATACACATTACATAAACCCATTCGAAAAAAATTCCCGCGTAATAGGTACATTCTATCAAATATTAATGAACTGTGGCAAGCTGATTTAAGTGATATGCGAACTTATTCTCAATATAATGATGGTTTCAAGTATATACTTTGTATTATTGATGTATTTAGTAAATATGCTTTTGCAAGACCAATGAAAAAGAAAAACTCAGAAACAACTAAAGAATGTTTTGAAAGTATATTTACTGAAAGTAATTTAACACCTACTCACATACAATCCGATAAAGGTACCGAATTTGTTTCAAAAGATGTACAAAAATACTTTAAATCCAAAAAGATTAATTACTATACCACTAACAATCCTGACATTAAGGCCAGTATTGTTGAACGATTTCAAAGAACACTAAAAATGAAAATGTGGCGTTATTTCACTCATAATAATACTTATAGATATATAGATGTTTTACAAGATTTAATATACTCTTATAATCACAGCTTTCACTCTAGTATTAAGATGTGCCCATGTGATGTAAATTCCAACAATATTATGACAGTTTGGACTAATCTTTATGATAGACGGTCAAAAAAACTTTCTTTAGAAAATCCTAAACCAAATTTCAATGTGGGTGATTATGTTCGAATAACTAAATATAAACATGTATTCCAAAAAGGATATGAATCAAATTGGAGTGATGAAATATTTATTATATCTTCAATAATTGATAGATCTCCATGGGTTGCTTATACAATAACAGATTTACAAAATGAACCAATAATTGGTACTTTTTATGAAAGAGAATTACAGAAAATCACTTACAACCCCACCTCACAACATAAAATAGATAAAATAATTGACACTCGTTATTCAGGTAACAGAAAAGAAGTATTAGTGAAGTGGAAAGGTTATCCAGATAAATTTAACAGTTGGATTTTAGCTTCTAGTTTAAAAGAAATATGAATAAAGAAAGTTTCTATTTAACTTTGCTCAGCAATAGTTCAATGGAATACTTTCCTGATAACAAGACCACAAATTTTTCAACGAAATTACCAAAAGCTATAAAATTAGAAGGTGAATGGTCGGTTGGAGTTGTCGAGTTTCAATATCCATGTACCATGTTTACTGTTCAAGACCATGAAAATGTTATATACATTACAAAATCTATGTTAATGCCTAATGAAGATAAGCCATCCACAGTGTACTACAAAAAACATATTCCAGCTACCAACTATGATAACGTTGAGCATATTTTAAGAGTGTTAAATGGTATCGGAGAGAACTTGAAATTTCGCTATGATGAAATAACAAAATTTGTGTCTATTTCGGTATTGGATAAAAATATAACATCCGTAACATTATCACCCAAATTAAGTTTACAGCTAGGTTATGAACCAAATAAAAATCTCCTAGAGAGAAATTTTGGAAAGTGTCCTGCTAATTTACACTTAGGGTTACCATCTCAACTATTTCTATATTGCGACATTATCGATCCTCAGATTGTGGGTGATGTTATGACTCCTTTATTAAGAGTCATTTCATTAGATCCTACAAAATACATTTATGGTGCAAATAAAATGCACGTTTTCTCTCAACCTCACTACTTACCTGTTATGCGAAGAGAGTTCGATACGTTGGAAATAGTTATAAGATCGAGTACAGGACAAAAAATACCATTCCAGTTTGGAACCGTGTGTATTAAACTACATTTCCGAAAATTATAATAATGAATTCTCTTCGTGATCATCATAAATGTCCATATGAAAATTATTATACACATCAAGCTGGATCAGGAGTTGGAGTAATTTATAAGGGTTCACCATATCAACGCGGTCATGGTATTGGGAGCTTCTTAGGGGGGTTATTCAGATCAGTTTTACCTTTACTTTCAAGTGGTGCTCGAGTGATTGGTAAGGAGGCATTAAGCGCTGGAGTAGGACTTTTATCGGATATGGTTCAAGCCCGTCCTATGGAAGCCTCAATAAAAGATCGTCTAAAGCAAGTTAGTACGAATTTAAAACGAAAGGCTGATGAGAAAATTGATCAATTTAACATGACTGGATCTGGGTATAAAACTAAAAGAAAACGATTGACATCGTTCATTCCACCATTAACTGCTAAAGTGAAAGCTGCGAAAAAACTTAGTCTAAAACCAAAAAATATCAAAGATATATTTTCAAACTAAATATGTCTTTCCTTCATAATCATTCTTGCGAGTGCGTTAAGTCAGAATTGGATTTGTTTGCACTACCGTCTACACAAACTAGCATTGAAAATGGATTGTGGATTCATTATAAACCAATTTCATCTCTTGGTGATGATGGACCTATCGAGTTTCAAGTTCCTGGGACCGGCGATGACTACATAGATTTGTCTCATACATTACTCCACATAAAGGCAAAAGTATTAAATCAAGATTCAACTAACTTGGTATCTACTACAATAGTAGCACCTGTAAATAATTGGCTGCATTCACTTTTTAGTCAACTTGATGTTTATTTAAACCAAAAACTTGTATCACCACCTAATAATACCTATGCATATCGAGCATACATGGAAACCCTTTTAAACTATGCCCCTGCTGCTAAACAATCTCATCTTACTTGTAGTCTTTGGTATGAGGATACAGCAGGAAAAATGGATTCTACAGATGGTAAAAACATAGGATTTGTTAAAAGACAGGAATTGATTAGTGAAAGTAAGGAAATAGAAATGATTGGTCATCTTCACGGTGACATTTTTAACCAAGATAAATTTTTAATTAATGGTGTTGAAATGAGTGTTAAATTGGTTCGATCAAGAGAGAGTTTTAATTTAATTGTTGGATCAAACGATGTAAAGTTTAAAGTTTGTATTACGGACGCAACTCTTATTGTTCGACGAGCACGAATTAATCCAAGTGTATTACTCGCACATCAAAAAGTTTTAGCTTCTACCACTGCTAAATATCCTATTACTCGAGCTGAAGTAAAAGTTTTAACAATTCCTTCTGGTGTTCAAGGAAAAACTCTTGATAATATATTTTTAGGACAGGTACCGAAAAGATGTATAATTGGATTTGTGAACAATTCTGCATTTAATGGTTCCCTTACTAAAAATCCATTTAACTTTGAAAACTATGGTATTAATTCTTTCAGCTTATATATTGATGGTCAACAAATACCTTCAAAAGCTTTGCAACCATCTTTTAATAATAGCATATTTACATCAGCATATCATACTCTATTCTCGGGAACTGGTATTCACTTTCTTAATGAAGGAAATGGAATCTCTTGTGAACATTATGGCAAAGGTTACTGTCTATTAGCATTTGACTTAACTCCTGATTTATCAGCTAACTCATCAACTCATTGGAATCTCATAAAGCATGGTAGTGTAAGAATAGAAGTACGATTTGAATCCTCATTAATACAAACAATTAACTGTATAGTTTATGCTGAGTTTGATAATATTATTGAGATAGATAAAAACAGAAATGTTACTGTAGACTATAGTAGTTAAGGTTATAATATGTGTTGTGTGTTAGATTTTATGTGTTATGTGTAATGCATTTTGTGTGTATGTAACTATGTGAAACGTTATAAAATTAAATAAAACAAATTGTATGCAATATATTTTTTTTTATTTCTTTATAAATCTTCTATTTAATCTAATACAAAACACTGTTCGAGTTGAAATTTTACATAAGCACACTGACTAAACCACTGAACATGCTGCTGCCAAGGATCATCATCATCTTCCCAATCTTTTAAACCACCACCACAATGGAAACACTTGGTCCCGTCTGCATGGCCAGTATAAAAGAAACCAGCTTCTGCAAGATCTTCAGGTTTCTGTCGCATAACTAGAGGCCAGTTTTCGAAACTAAGCAAACGGCTAGATTTTGAACTGAAGAATGGATATTCAGCTCTTGAGTACTGCATACTCTTCTCGTTTTCTTCTCCACTCAGTGTTGTAGTTTTGTTATTCAATGATGTGTTTTGTACACGTATGCCACACTCATCTCTTCCTTCCGCTCTTGTCTTCCTGTAATTGAAGTAAACAGAATCACATTCACTAATGATCAGCTAATGACTGTCATTGTTAAAAAAGTATTTTTTAACTTTTTCACTTTCTGCTATTGTCTTTGTTATATTGTATACGAGGGCGTTTGTGTTGTCGTAGATGCTATCCTTATTAGTCTTTACGTAATATTTAATTCTAGTGGAAGCATGTTTCCAATGATCAGTAGTTGGAATCTTGGATAGCTTCTTCATATTGTACATTTCAATTTTGATGAGATGCGTCGCTTGGTCTCCGTCGTCAGAATTAGTAGAAATGTATGATACACCATCTCTAGCGGCTCGTGCTACGGTTGATGATAACAGCTTCCTCTTTTTTATTTTTGATTCAGCTTCAAAAAAATGATCAATTGATTGCGATTTTCTTTTTCCACCATCGCATGTGTTATTATTAATGACGAGGTTATCACTCTCTTCTTGAGGGGAGAGTGGCGAGTAGTAATACTGTTTATAGGTATCTTCATCGAAGCTCAATGATTTCTGCAACAACACAGTTATCATGTTAATATCAATTTGTTAACACTTAATCATAAAAGTTAAAAAAGTTAAAGTTACAGCCTATTAAAGTCCACTGCTGAACATAGGCCTCCTCTCATTTCTGAGAGGGTTTTAGAGCAAGGAAATGTCCGCCGCGCTCCCTCAATGTGTGTTGGCGAACTTCACATGCCTTCGAAATTTTCTCAGACATGCAGGTTTCCTCACGATGTTTTCCTTCACCACCAAGCACGTGGTAATAAGCACTTAAAATTGCTATTAACAATTTAATTGGTGCTGGCGGGGATCGAACCCGGGTCGCGTACTGTGAAATTTACAGCTAGCGCTAACCATCTGAGTTACCACGGCTTAATCATATACATACACAATATTTAAATAAAATAATACACACACACACATGAAAATAACAGAAAAAAAGTAATTTAGTCAATAGAATAAACACTTACATCCATAGCCTTTGGTGTATTGAAGTAACACAAAATGTACTATTGATAGATCCACTGTAGCCAAACGACCGTACACTAACTCGATGACTGCGTTTGTTGGTCTTATATACCACCAGTACGTAAAAATTCTAATCTAAAGTATTTCCGTAATGAGTTGATAATTACTTTATGCGTCAACCAGTTTATCTCACATTTCCGTTGCCTATCTCAACATTTCTTCGTATTGTGTTTTGTTTGGTGATCAATGACTCAAGTACGATTTGTATAACACAAAAATGCAGTTTAATATTTAGAAACATATCAGTTTATCTCACATTTCCGTTGCCTATCTCAACATTTCTTCGTATTGTGTTTTGTTTGGTGATCTATGACTCAAGTACGATTTGTATATCACAAAAATGCAATTTAATATGTAGAAATCACTATAATTGACCATTCCTATGTTATTCATTGAGTAGCTAGGTACTGTAATAATCTACTAATAGCAGTAATATCATGGATACACTAGATGTACAACAACATCTGAAAAAGATTCACCCCAGTCTAGAAAATAATGTTTATGCAGCTAATAGACTGCCTATGTATACCCACGTACCAACGTATATAATATGTAATTTGGATACAGATGATAAACCAGGGTCACATTGGGTAGCTTTATATATCGATACGAATGACGTCGGTCAATATTTTGATTCATATGGACGATCACCTGTACGATATCATCTAGAGTTTTTAAAAAGGAATTGTAAAAGATGGAACTGGAATGTTGATAGGATTCAGAATGAGTGGACTTCAGTTTGTGGCGAATATTGCTTAATGTATTTACTATATAAGTTTCAAGGATGTTCAATACATAGTTTTACGAGTATATTTACAAGGAACACATTGTACAACGATATTTTAGTGGATGAGATGTTTCGCTCCTATTTTATAGATAATAATTAATAAGATTTTGTATTTTATAAATAAAAATTGTAACAAAATTATGTAATGTGTTTTATTGATGATTCAGATTAGCGTTGTATAAACAAAGAATTATAATAAACAATAGCACTGATATAGTCGACGCACACGCTGCAATGAAGGTGATTAAGGAACAATAGAACAATAGAAATAGGAACAACAATGGGACGCTAATGACGGTGGAGGCCCTTACCGGATATCAATTAGATATGCGTGCATTCTACACAAAAATGGACCGCGGATTCGTGATCAGAGCATGCCAAAACCTTTTTTTTTTTTTTTTTTTTTAGGATCGGGCGTCGACGAACGTCGTTGAACCACGTCTGACTCAGGTGGTCTAGAAGTGGTACAACTACACTACTAAAGATCCTCTTTATTTTCAAATGTACAAGGCATTTATCCAGGAGTACCTAAAGCTGGGTCATGCCAAGGTCGTTGACATCCAGTCAGCTGACATTCATACATCTCCTAAATATTTTTTGCCTCACCATGCTATAGTGCGCAATCACAAGAAAACAAACAAGTTGCGCGTTGTTTTTGATGGTTCTGCCAAGCCAAAAGGCGCTGAGTATAGTTTAAATGACATTTTATGCAATGGTGGCGTTGTTCAGAATTCGTTGTTTGAAATTTTAATTTTGTTCAGAACTTTCAATGTTGTGCTTATGTGTGATATTAGGCACATGCACCGTCAAATTCTTGTAGCTCCGAGCACAGAGTTTTGCAGAATATTCTATGGCGTGACAGCGCACATGAAGCTTTGCAGTGTTTACAACTACAAACGATTACATACGGGCTTACAAGTTCAGCGTTTGTGGCAACCCGCTGCCTCATGGAGCTCGCAAAGATTCATGGTGTTCGATTTCCACTTGCTGCCAACGATTTAAAAAAGAATTCATATGTGGACGATGTTCTCACTGGGGCTTCCAGCACCGCTAAAGCTGTTCGCTTGAAACAGGAACTTATTGACTTGCTAAAAATGTGTAGCTTTGAGCTTCATAAGTGGTGTTCCAATGAGCACAGTGTCATTGGTGACATTCCAGAAGACAAAAGGCACTTTGACGATGTAGACCTTAATAAGGATTCATTAACCACCAAGACACTAGGCATCACATATGAGGTTCAGTCCGACAAGTTCAAAATAACCGCTCCTTCCAATAATACTGGTCTGAAGTCTCCTACCAAGCGTAAGATCCTAAGGTGCATCAGCAAATTTTTTATCCAATGGGTCTCATCAGTCCCATCTTTGTAAAGGCCAAAAACTTTCTTCAAAAGTTATGGCAAGGTAATTTGGACTGGGATATACCATTTTCTCTTCTTTTAAATAAGTAAATAATAATATTTACATTTACGCGTATTTGTAGTAAGCTAAGTCTATAGAGGCCCCTACTAGAGAGCTCTCGACGGAGGTAGTTTTACGGCATTTCCAGAAAAGGTCTAACTTCGGTATCAACTTGTGAGAGCCATGTTGAACTAGTTATAGTAATAAAAAAATTAACGGTAATCGCCACGCTTAGGAGGCTGATTGAACATCACAGTTAGGGTTGCCATCTGTCCGGCTTTAGCCGGCCATATTTGGCTATTTCGCGTTGTGTCCGGCCAAATTTTTATGTGTCCGGCCTGTCCGGCATTTGTTAGGCTTTTTGTTAGTGTAACGCGTTGCACACATCGCTTGCAGAATAAATAAATAAGTAACGTATACACTTGAAACTGTGCTGTGATTGATTAATAAACAATTAACGTATGTAACGGAGTATTTTAGTTTTTTCTCGGGGGGTTGGAGTTGGTGAGTTTTTTGGCTGCATGGCCTCAGAAAGGTATGTTTGACTAAAAATTAATGTCAGGCTTTTAGGGCCAGAAGTCCGGCTTTTTCATTTTAGGAGATGGCAACCCTAATCGCAGTGTTTCGCACCTTAGACGCTGTTACTGGTCGTCGGCCAGGGTATTGCCTATCTGGCCATGTTGTCTTTTTGGCCTTTATCATAATCGGCCTTTGCGACACTCATAGAACGTACTGAGGAGGACGAACTCTCTTGCGCAGACATCCTACGGTAAATGCTTACTGCATTGAAAAATGTTCATGTACATCAGTTCATTGTTGTGGGCTAATGAAGAAAAAGTAGAGTAATAAGAAAATAAAACGGCACACATATTTATTTTAATAATTTAAATATTTAATATATAAAAATATTATCTTTATGAAATTAAAAATCTCTAAACATCATAAAACACATAATTTAGTCTAATTATTTTCTTGTATCGATATTGTAGTGTAGTAAAATAAATTTAAACTCAATTATAATGCTTACTACGATTCGTTGCAGTAACGCTTGAATTTCCATCGTCACAGTAACCTCAAGAAAATTTTACAATCACAAAAAAATTAATATAAACACACAGAAAATAAAAACTTTAACATTATGCATAAAGAATTTGTTACATGCATTTAAAATGTAATTCAAATGTAATTTACGTAATGTACATGGATTTTATTAGATTTGTAAATTAAATTGTTAACTGGCGTTACCAATAGCACCAG